ATTCTGATTAAATTCTTTAAGAATATAATCATTTTTCATTCAGACTAGTAGGCTCTTAAAATACAGGATTTTGTTTTTCATCTGATTAGAAGTGTAAGTTAACCCATAAAAGATCTTATGCCTCACAGATGAATTATAGAGATGTGCATGGTTTTGAACCTTATCTGAGAAACTGCCTCTCTTTCCAAGTCAGTGTATGTGTTTGGAGATAAGTGGGATGGGTATGATGGCACACACTGCAATTTCAGTTATTTAATGATTCTCTGCTGCATTTCTTTTTTAATTAATGGGAGGGGCATGGCTTTTAAAGAGTCTCTTTTTTACCTGCTATGTACAATACAAATAAATGAATATCTATCATGATGTGCAAGACATATACCCCATTTGGCTGGTAAACTTTGGAATAACTGGAAATGTTACTGTGAGTGCTGAAATTTTAATTGTATTTCATATAGTCTCACTTTTTATTGTTCTTGATCAGACTGAGTGCTTTTATGACCTGTGAGAAGTCTTACTGGAACCTGAAAGGAGAATTTACAGAGTCTAGCAACACTGAGAACCACAGGGATGAGTTCAGATTATGGGTATCTGTATGGGTAAAAACAAAAATATAGGACAGTCACTTCACTGCCTTGCAAAAGGCCATGCTAGCAAGGAGGTATCATTATTGCTCTAAATAACACATGAAAGAAGGTAATTGGTTTATAATGTAGGAAATGGCTAAGGGATTCATCAAGGTGTTTGGCCTGCCCAAGCATTTTGTGAAAACAGCACAGCGAGGTTCCAATGTCATCAGCTCTCCTCCATTTCCCTGGAGCTGAAGGCCCTCATCATCCTGTAAATATAGTGCTAGTGAGGTTTTCTTGGCAGCTTTTTAGAAAAAAGACTATTCTGCTGAGGGATGTTTTCCAAATTACCCAAGGACAGTGAACTGGATATTTTCTGGAATGCATTGCAGGAATAGTGGAGTGTATTTGGCTGAGTGTATAGGGCACATTGTTTTCCTGTGTCATATTGGGCTATGCATTGAGTTCCATGTCAGTGTTTCATTTTTAGAAACCTTAGAAAGAAAAAGTAATTCCTTGAAAGGTAGAAATTAAAGGACATATGAAACCCAAAACAATGTGTCATCTAAAAGTTCAGATCATGATTGATAAGTGTGGCTTTTCCTATTGTTGGCTGTTAACTCAGTAATGGATTGTTATTTCTATAAGCTTTGACTGGAGCAATTTGTCTTGAAATATTTTTGTCACCTTTTCATTTTAGGTCTTTTGTAATAGAGTTCTCTAATTTTATTTTTTCATACATAAATGCAGATAACTCAGTGTTGAACAGCATCAGATGAAAACTTGTCATCAGTTTAAAAATTGATAAAAGGCTGAATTCTGAAGAAATTTTAATTTTGCAATAGTTTTTAGCTGTTGCATTCTGTGGCAAAATAAATATTAAATAAATTATATTGAGGGGAGGTATACTGTCTGTCTGATAATAAAAGCCATTTTTACAGTTTGTAACATTGCAGGGAACATTTTCCAGCTTATCATAATGGAAACAGGCAAGTTATTTACTTGCCAGAAAGGCCTGAACCCTAGCAATCACACATACCACTTGTGATGTTAAGGTTCCTTGCAGTGTCCAACCTTAACATGTATTATTATTATTTTATTAAATTATGCCAAGAAATTTTCCCCTTTTCACTTTCCTCAACTGATATGACAGTGCAAAAATTACTGTAATGCATTTAGTATTTTAAAAAGCTTTGCTCGCCTAAATTGCTTCACTTCTTAGAGATGTTCTCTGTGTCCATATTCATTAATTGATTCTCCTCTTTGTAGCTAGAAGATGAGTGTTTTTCACTACAGCCTTTCTCCCTTTTCCTCAGTTTCTTAGTATGTCCCTTTTTTTTAGTCAATTGGAGTAATTTACTGTCCATGTTTAAATATTAGCCATAGTTCAGTCTTTTGACAGCACCCCAGTTAGAAGGCTTGGAGTACAAGAAATGGTTGAAAACATTTTGGAATAGAAATGACAGCACTTTGGATTTGGATATAACACAATAACCAGCCTTCACTTTAAATACACCACGAGTGGGGTCAGTGCTGCCTGAGCTTTAGCTGTGTGAGCATTAGTCTGTTTATTTGTATAAATTGCCAGATTTTTTTTTGGTTAGTGCACATCCCACGAAACAAGAGGGGCAGGACAAAATCCCCTCCAAGCCTCTTCCAGAGAGGACACAGCTGGTGGCCATGTGGAAGGTTTGATCCTGGTGTTTTGAGGGTTGCTAATACTCTTCCCTGTGATTAGTCACATGCAGTGTCTTCAGCTGGGTTCCTCTTGTGTGATGCCAGGTATTGTATCTAAGGGATCAGGAGAGGTTTGGTCCCAGCCAAGCCCACATTGCTTTGCTCAAGAGGAAGCCAAGCAGGTAAACCTTTATACAAAACTGTGAGAGCTTCCCAAGCACTTACTGTAAAAGCCAGACTTGGAAAAGAAAGATTTTCTACATGCTTTTTTATTGATTTAATTTCTATAATGATTGTGTTTCAGTATGTGGCTGTTGCAAGCAGGATGAATTAGGAAACTTTGTACCTGTAATTTATACATGGTGTTCCTGTTAAGAACTAAAACTAACATGATTAATTTGAGAAAAATGTTGGCATCTTGTCTGAAAGTGAGTGCATTGTAGTGTTGGTCTCCACTTCTCATGGAGCTCATTCAACTTTTAACACAGATATACTTTTACATAAACATTGACACAAAAATTTCACCACAAGGCAAGAGGAGAGTTTCCACATGAAATATGAAGTGTTGTTGTTGTTGCTACAGCATATTTTCTGTTAAAGCTGTCAGAATGACTTATTAGTTTGGCATTTTTGATGAAATATATTCTGTCCTATAATTTACCTTTTAGATATTTGTATTCTACATAATTATCAGGCCTCCACACATTATCTCTGATATACTTTTCCTGGAAAGGCAAAAGATCCATTTCTCTTCCTTGTAACTGGCAGTATGAGACTGTCCACTTTAACAGCTGCTGGCAAGTGCCCCTCTGGATAACCTCTGGCATTGCAGAAAGCACCATGGTTTAACCATTTCTCTCTGCTTTACTCACACCTCTCAGAAGAGTCTGCATGACCAAACACTTTCCCATAAGCTGTAACACAAAATAGTTAAAAAAGACTTGGGGCATAATTATTAGTATATGTGTGATTCTTCTTACTGAAGCAACACTTTTGATGTTAATCACAACAGATTTGGAAAAGGGAAATTATTTTTGTCTCAAGGGTAAGTTTTACAGAAGGGAAATTCAACAATTGCACAAAGTAGAGTTACTAATCTTAGAGACCTTTGTGGGCTTCTTGCAGCATCAGGCAGCAAGGATTTATGGCGTACTAAATTCTTGGCTTATGCTGACAGGGAACTAATAATGGAAACGGAGTCAGTGGAAAGATGTTTCAGATGGCTTCTGTTACTGAATGGCCTCTGGACAAAGTAACAACATCTGAAACCCTCTTGTGTGCCATGGCAACAAATTCCAGTGGCTCTGTTCATGTAGGATCCTCCTTTTGTGTATTCTCTTTGAAGGAGATACTGAAAGATTCCTGCTGCAGATCATACAAGCTAAAGAGTTCTCAACACATGCATCTTCTAGGTCAGGGCTTCAGCTTTACAGCTGTATCTCTTCCCATCTAACTGGAAATAGCCTGGCACTGTCCAGAAATAAGTCCTCTGAGTGCCAATAGAGATACTGTAACTGTAGACATGACGTCTAGTGGATGTCATCTAATGTTTCTTTCTGACAGAAGTTTGCATGAAAAAGAAGAGTTTTGCTTAGTACAGTAATAATTAGTCACAAAAATATTTTATATTCTATGACCACGAAGTAATTTCAATGGATAATAAAACTAATTAATACTGTGGAGTTATGCTATTTTCATAATGCAAGATAGAGGGGGGAAGAAATTAGCTGGGTTAAAAGCAATCACCCAAGCCTGCAAGACAGCAAAATGTCTGTTACTCACTTTATGTGTATAGACTAATGCTTGACTTTAGAGACATGTAATAGTTTGCTTTGATTTTAGCCCTTTGGTGTGGTGGTCCATCACATTATACACTGTAACATGCTGTTCCCTGTCATGGATTTTCTGGGTCCTCCTACATCAGGCCTTGATATTTTGCACTTAAATGGCAATTCCTTTGATTTTATTCAATAAAATTTTTTTCAACAAATAAAGACAGCGGCATAAGGCTGTACAATAGATTTGCTTTTCTCTCCCATTCCAAAGAATCCTACAGTTTTTGGATCCGGAAGTCACTGGTAACTTGCTGTTGAATGAGGAAAGTTTACTGACAAATAGCTCTTTGTTTTACCTAAATTGTTGCATACAAAACCAAAATCTCAGATAAAACAAACCTTCCCTGAAAATCAAAGATAGATGGTCAAAATCAAACCAAAACCCGTTTAAGGAAAGCCACAGCAAACAGTCCCACTAAGTACATGGTTTTTCTGTTCTGTGAGCCACAGTCCAGAAGGTCATTCAGGCTGTTTATAGCAGGTGGTCAGAAAAATACCATATAACCCTGTATCTGTATCTGTCTGCCTTTCAAGTAAAACAACTGTGATACCTGTGCAGTTATTTTGACCACACCTTGATGACAAAATACAATAAAAAGTCCTTTGTTTTCTTGGAGGGCTTTGTTTGACTTTGGTTTAGTTTTTATTATTTAAAATGGAATGCAGATGTTTTTTGACTGGGGCATTTTCTGTGCAGTCATCATACTGATCAGGTGTCTGGTTAAATTAACTGATGAGTGTGTGTGTCCTTCCTACAGTATGGTTCAGGTCTATTGGTTATAATTAGTTTAGTAAAAAATTCTTTCAGTAATAAAGGTATATGTGTTTATATGGATTGAAAGACTGTGACTGTCATAATGCTAGTCTGTATTTAATCCAGTATTTGGTCTTGTAATTCTTTGCCTTTTTTTTTCCCCCACAGGTCTTTCATTATTCTTATACAGCTTCATATGTGATTTATAACATACACACAAGGTAGGTCACATTGTTTTTTCAACATGATGTCGTATCGGTGGTTCTATACGTTGGGTGATGCCAGTGTGTTCAACTAAAAATGTTTCCATTTTTTCAAGGGAAGTTTGGGAGTTAAACCCTCCAGAAGTAGAGGATTCAGTTTTACAGTATGCAGCCTGGGGCGTTCACGGACAGCAACTGGTAAGCACAGTCATTAAAAATGTATTAACTCCAGACAGACTGAGGTAAAAACAAAATTAAAAGCCTCAAGATAAGTTTTGTTATGTATTTCTGTACGGTGCTATTATGTTCCTGTTACAGTTTTAAGGAGATCTATTTATTTATTTATTGTAAAAATACGCTTTTCCAGTCTGAACCCAATAAGCAAGTTGTATAATTGCTGAACAGAATCACACCTCCATCTAAATATGCACTCAAGTAATTTTCAGAATATCCATCTTTGTGGCTACTGCTGTGCGAGAAAGAAAGGTGAAGAGAAGTTTTCTTTCAAGCATGAGATCAATGAAAAGTGTGGGCAAAAGCAAAAGCTTAACATCCAAAAGTGGATGTGATGGATTCAATGAAAAGTGATGTTTTCATTTCAGTATGAAAATTACTGCCAAGGTCAGTTGTGCTACACTGAATCTATAATAATAATAATAAAACCCAGAGATGCTGTGTTTCATGTATTGTCTTCTTCCAGAATTTTTACCATTTTTTTATGAACAGAAATCATCCATGGTCATCATAACCAAAGTCAATATGAGAAGGAAAAAATGTTTGTTTTAAAGCAACAGTGATTTTAAGCTGATCTGTGTTGGTAGTTGAAGGCAAGAGACTTTTAAAGCTTCAACTCTCTGGATAAGAAATTCAGATAATCCTTGTTACAGTTTTCTGATAACATCCCTAAGGCCCACAGGCGTGATCTGGGGGCCTCTTTGCACATCTGAGCTGTTCATGCAGAGAGGCTCCAAGTTGAATGTCTAGAGAATATACCTTGTTGCTTATATAATTTATCAATATGATTAGAAAGGAAAAAATGTTTCTCCTTTAAATGTGTTGCATTAAGCAAGCAGAGGAAGGCGGTAAAAAGTAGTTGGAACATGCTTGGTATGTTTTAATAATTAACCACATTAATTTATTAATAATGAGAGCATGGTGATGGGATTAATAGTAATATATAGATAAGTTATTTACTAAGGCAACATTATGGAATGTGGTGAACTGTGTAGGTTGTAGCAGAAGGGAGAAGCATTTGCAAAACTGAACAGATGTAAAAAATATTTTAATTAAATTGCAGTTCGTAAGATTTATCTGTGCTATACCTCTGATCAGTAATCTAAAGTAGAACTAAAATTACATGCAGTGATTACTGAAAAATTAATTTTTCTTTTCCTGAGATGTATATTACAAACAGGTCAGACTTACCAATCATGAACTTCAGAAAAATAACAGATCAGAGTAATTCTGTCTTTATGAGTTTGCCTAAAATATCATTTTGTAAGTATGTGTAGATACTTTCAGACAGGTGGATTCCTATTATGTTCCAGAACTACAAAAAAATAGGTGATCATGTTAAGTACAACCATAATCATCCAAATTTGAAAACGTTGGCATAATTCATAGGTGAGTGAGGATAACATTCCACATCTTTGCTAATGTCCCTAGTAAAGTTAATGTCATGCTTTAAAAATATCTGCTTCACTGTGGGCTTTATGGTGCCATATGGTCTGCAGAATTAGGAAATAATAACTTTAAACACAAAATCTTCTGTGCACTCTGAATGGCACCAAGTGTTGTCACATAGATGTACACCTGCAATGACAGTCTACTGAAGGTCACCCCCATAGGAGCTGCCAATAAGAAGAATGTCCTCTTGAAGCTGCTCATGTGGTAAAAGGAGGTCTCTAAAGAGACAGAAATGCCTTGCTGCATTACCCTCCCACTTCAGCAACAAGCCAAAAATGTAGCAGGAGCATGAATGAATAAAGACTGTTGCGAATAATGGTTGTTGCTCCTGTCTAAAGGAACATCTGCCTCTAGCAGAACCAGGACAGAGAAATCATTCCAGCAGAATAGGTTAGGCAGAGAAAAGATGTGCGACTGAGGACACATTGCCATAATGGTTCTCAGTTATAAAATCTGTCCTTAGAACAGACAGTGTATCAGTGAGTTTTGAGTAAAATAGTACAGGAAGCAACCAGCAGTGATACAGGTTACAGAGGAAGTTGTAAAAGGAGAGCCCCAAGTCATGGTAATCCATCAGTGGCTATCAGAGGCACATATTTGGGTGCACACAAAGGTGCAGTCCCATGGATCCATGTTGTCAAACACACTGTGATTGGTTTACCTTCCTGAACAATACTTATATGTCTTTTCTGTATAATAAGAAAACAGAAATAATAAGTAAAACAAGCAGTTAAATACTTACTCTAAACAAAATAATCATAATGTATACAATAGTATATACGTGGGTAATCTCCGAGAGACATTCGTTTCAACTGAAGAACAAGTGGAGAACAAATTAACTTTATATACAAAAATTTCATTTAGAAAGACCCATGGCACATGCCACGTGGCCATCACATAATCAAAGTGTATGTAGATCTCTAAAATGAAGGGGAATAGCATCCATGCAGGTGTGATGCAGAAATGAATAGCGATGCTATAACCATGACAGGTCAGCAAAATTAGCACAAAATATAAAACACAAAGCACAGGTATGTCTGACTGAGCCACAGACCTTAACTATACACTAAAACTATTTGGAAGGTTCTGGATTAAATTCAAAGTATGGGGGGTAACACATGGACTTGGGACCAACTATTTTCAATAAACAGACTATAGTGTAAAATAAGATATTTCCAGTCCTTTTTTCTGCAGAGGACCTAAGTAACAGTGCAGCCTACACAGGAATCCTGAATACTTCAAATGAGGGACAATAGCCAAGAGGTTCAAATAGATAATATAAGAGGATGAAGAGAAAAAAAAATAGAAATAAAATATTTGAAAAGGAAAATTTCCATGAAGCCAGGAACTGCTTATTGCACAGAGGAAGGAATATGGCTGCAGTGAAATCAAGTATACAGCAAGACTTTACCTCCTTGTGGAAAGCATGCATCAGTATAAGTTTACTGTTATGGATAATTTCTAGGGTTGTCTAATGGGACAGCAGGTCACTTGTGCCTGGTGAAGAACAGCAGGGTTAGGTTTATGTCAGATACCAGGTGACTGGGCCACAATACCATTGTTTTGAAGGTACCACAGTTATTTCAGTTTCTTGCTATTTACCAAGAGTAGAGGATTTTTTAAAGATTAAAAGAAAAGCTCAGAGAAACATCTGCTGTTTGAGTCATGACATTTTGGTGGTGAAATTGAAAATGTTTGCCGTTGGGGAGAAGAAACTTTTATCTAATGAATTAATGTATTTTAAGGTCACACAGCACTTACTTTTGAGAACTGTTTTCAAGGTTGCACTCTTTAGATTGCTGTCCTTTAACTGTGTTAGAACTGTGCCAGATCTAAAATACCATTTCTGTGTCTCTTAGTATGTTAGAGAGCTGTTTATGTATTTGCTAAACATTACTCATGTTTGATTAAAATTGTGGAAGACATCAGTTGATTATCTCTTTACCTCACCTCCATCACTGCAGCATTAAGTATTTCCAGGGAAGACAAACCGGCACAACTAGAGGCTTAATTGGTTTCATCCACATTTTTCTGCCTCCAATTTATTGATTAGAGACCTCATTGCATGTGACTGAGAAAGAGATAGTATATACCTGGTGGGAAGGCTTTACTGAGGAGAATGCTTTGGGTTTTTTTAAGGGGCCTCTATTGTTGAAATTCCCACTTTTTATCCGGTGTTCTCACTTCTCCTGTCTTCTCCGATAGTTTGTAGCAAAGGCTTTGGTGAGTTTGAGCTGGAGCTGGTTTGTATCTGACACAGGGGAGGAAACCCTTTCTGTCTGGGTCTGTCTAGGGGGATGTATCTCAGTAGAAGCCTGAATATAAAAACTCTGGACTGGAGATATCTGGTCTCCAGTGTAGGCAGTGTTGTATTTAAGCTGTAGTGCTCCTCTGCAGTGCTTCCTGTGATACAGACGGTTCTCCTGATCAGTTATCAGGTGGGCTGCTTCAAGTAGCTCCCAGTGAAGCCTGATTAGAAGTTGTTCAGTTTGGTGTAGCTTTTTCTTAACAGTTTTTCATCAATTTTTTTTTTGCCTGGGTAGTGATACCTGTTGTGTATTTTGTATAAAATACTTCACTCTATTTCACTTTATTTTATGAACATACCTCCATGCAAGTCACTTTGCCTTTGTATTTATTACAGGTATTTTATGTTATTTACTGCATTAGGCTCATTTTTCTTTTGATAGATAAGTGTTTTTGAGGGGAGCTTGATTTTATATTTGGATAGATCAGCATAAGTAACGATCTGTTGACTTACATATGAATGTCTATGCATAAATACATGTATATTTTAACAAAGCAGAAATCAAGAAAATATTAAAACTATCTAGAATATTTTGTAGAAGTTTGACAGCTTGCTGTGTCGTAATTTGATGCTATCAACAAAAAATAACATTATCAAATGATAGGACTGAAGATGAGCATTTATTATGGGGTTTTTTTCCATAATTTTGGTCATCATCATTGTTTAGAATTACTTATTATTCTGTATACACAAAGCTCAGTCTCTTGACTGTAGCCAAATTGTGGATTCAGGATGCTCCCATTGGTTTTTAGGAAGTACTTTAAATATCAGAAAACAAGAATTTATCCTCTTGTGAAAAAAACAAAAACAAACAATTGAGCAGGCTACTCACTGAAAATAGGGCTAAGAAGCCAAAGCTTTTAAATAAAAAATAATAAAAAAAGAATCCAGTGAAAAACGACCTTATATTATATCAAAACTAGCTAAAAATGAGCATTCAAACAGAAACCCGAAACCAAAACAGAGTACAATCTACTTTAGTTGCTCTTAATAAATACACCAGTTCAAGAACTCTCTACCTTTTGCCTTTGTGGTGAGTCATCTTTATCCTGCTTTTCAAATTCCTTGTCCAAATTTTAGGGTTTTTTTCAAAAGTTTTCAAAGACTATTTTAGGTAACAGAAATACTACAGAAGCAAAGTTCATTGATGTTACATTATTTTCCAAGTACCCAGATAAGCACAAGACAAAGTTTAGTGATTGAG